GTGGTCAGAGTATGATTTGTAAAGAACATGTAAAGAGCTTATGTATCTAAGTAACTGAAATGAACAGATACAGAAATCAACAACAGTTGACCCATTTGGACCCACATATGTAAATTCTCCATCTTCATCACCTCGACACCTGCCGTTAATTATAACACCACCGATGTCCTCCAGAAAGCCTAGAAGTTTTCTTCCCTTGGTATCAAGTTTCACATCTTTTGATACTCTTCTTACCGCAATAAGTGGAGAATCAGATAATAAATTACCATCAACTACTTGATTATCTGCTACATGGGCATTTAAGTCGCCAACAATACAGTAAACGGGTTTATTAAAATCGTTTAAAAATTGTTCCAGCTTAGAAAAATCTTCCTCCCATTTTGTGCAATTTAAATAACGTGGAATGAAGAAACAATCAACTTTGTTAACACAAGAATATAGTACAACATTATCACCAAAGTTTAGAAATTTAAAAGAATATATCTTCTCTAAACATTTTTTATACCCATAAAGACAACCACCACTCGCTCTACCAGCATTATGAATTTTTGACGCTCCCACCCAACACAATATATAATCTTGAAAGAAATAAGTAAAGTTATTTTGGTTTTCGACCAGTACATGTGTTTCAAATAGAAAAAATATGTCATATAAGTTAACAAAAGTGAAAAAGTTTTTATGATTAAATTTACTTTTTAAATTAGCTACGTTATAAGAAAGCACCTGACACACTGGCAATTGCTAATTAGAATTCACCGGTAAGGCAACATCCACTGCAGTGTAGTCCAGGGTATTTCTTCCCGGGTTGACATCCATGAGCTGACGATTACTTATATTACTTATATTTTGTTTGACATCGCACTGAAACCTTGTTGTAGTAAGCAAGTTATTAATCATTTTCGCATCTCCTGTTGAAGCAGCAATAATTTTGTTTTCTCTCCAAGTGAAAGGTTTGTCGTTAATAAAAAGCGAGTAATCACCTAACCGAACTTTAACACCAGGATGCAGTCTTCTAAGCTCATTTGCTACTCCGCGCAGATTCTGTTTTCTGGACCGTTCATCCACTGTGAGATCTCTATTTATGTAAATATTTGTACCTTTTAATTTCGTCACAGCGGATAATATCTGTCTAGCCTGCGATTCTGATCCAAGTGTTGCAATAAAAATGCCATTACCAGGTAGTTTTTTTACAGTGCACACAGATACATTTGCTTTCAGCACGTTACTGCACAGTTTGTGAATTTCGTTTTCAGCAGACATAACTGTGTCGCACGATAAGCCTTTTACAACAATATTCTTGCGTCTACCGTCTTTATCTATATGGTCAATCTGCATTTTTAACCGGCGCAATTCTTCTTTGAGTGAAGTATTTTCTTGTTTTAAGCAATTGATTTCTTCTCTCAATACTTGCAGATCATCTTTCTTAGCAACGTTCTCAAGTTTGACATCCAGAACACTTGCCAAGCGCTCGTCAAAAGTGGCCCAAGAGAAAACATCTTGCGATGCTGAATTATTGTTACTATTCGGCATAGCTTTTTTGGCGATGTTAGTTGTTTCTGGGGAAGTTAATAGAATATTTCTTTTGTTACTTCTATCGCCCATTCCACAGGAACACGCAACACAAAAACAATCACGCTGTAGTTAATAGCAAATAGTTACAATAAATGATATATTTCTTTTAATATATATCTAATATATATCTTTTTGATTTATATAAAAAGTTTGCAAATTAAAAAGTAAAAATTATAGTCTACTTTTACTTTTATTGTTTAATAATTGTTTTTGTAGCCGTAGCACTAACCAAATAGTATAACTATTATTTAACACTGATATTATAGTTACTATTTTATTTTTTATATTACTTATATTGCTTGTTTATCATGAGTATATTTTGGCGCCTTTTTTAATTGGGTGCCCCAGTGACCACACTTTAAAAATCAAAGTAATTTGAGTTTATTAACAAATGTTAAATGGACTTTCACCTTCCTTTATATTAACAATAGTTCACTGACACTTTATATTTATATAAAAAAATTTTGTATAAAATATTTACTACAAAACTAATGTATATATCCTTTTAATGTTACATACATACAGAAAAATATATTTGATATTTATCGTTATTATGATACCTTTTTTGAAATCCGATTTCGAAATAGTAATGAAGTACAAGAAAATATTAAAATTTATAAATTAATTAAATTTAATTAAAATTAAATTTTAAAAAGTTTCTGATATTGCTAATGATAATCATCATCAATCGTTATTGACAATATTTTTTAAATTTACTTTTTAAGTAAAATTTTTCGATTGCAAATAACAAGTGTTAAACTTCTACCCTAAAAGCGCAGATCCATGTTTTAGACTGACCATTGATACGAAAATCTATCAAAAAAACCCCTACACAACATCAAAAAAAATCCAAAATCACATCTGATTTTGATTGAAATACTAATGCTCCCATTATTTTTATGTTTAGGTCCATATGTGAACTATAGTTGTTTGTATAATTTCTTAGAGCATTGCTTCGCATGTTGCATATCATAGCACTACTTGCCGTCTACGCATATAAATAATAATTTTTTATACGCTTAATCGTATTAAGAAAGATACAATCTTTAAATTCCTCAAGCACTTGCTATTTTTTATATAGGCTTAATAAGAATTTTATAAGCAAATAATTATTACATTTTTATTTTAATCTATTGTTGATGTTGTAGACCACTATATCTTATGAAATATATAAAATTTTTAACATAAATTTCTATAGTAAAGTAATGGTTATATGTAGATATTATATATCTATCACTCCAAATGTGTGTGGAGGATATTTATGTTTAAACTTCATTAAACCACAATTTTATATTTTTTATTAAATTTTAAGATACAATGCTTTTAGCTTACGCTTAAAATTAAAAAGGATTTTAAAATTTTTACGCCTTTTCTAGTAAATAATAAATGATAAGGTTTTTATGTTTACTAAATTCATTAAATACTGAAAATGTTTTCAGGAATATCTTATTTTTTTTAATTAGCTATTAAAACTAAAAACTGAAAGAGTGGACTATAGATTGTACATACTACAACTACTGTACTCGTATTGTTAATTATCTTGAAAATAGTTAATTTGGAAACATGACTACTTTATTGGCAGCAATGAATTGAAAATATTATAAAAATATATTATTTTTAAATGATTTTTATCAAAGATAATTATTTATGATGTAAGTGTAGTTGTATGTTGTAATATTTTTTATTTTGGGTATTTTATTATGGATATATTATATAATATATAGCCATATATATTACAAAAGTTTCTCAGTTCATATTCTAAAGAGTTAATACGAAGGTAGACACTAAAGCAAATACTTTTAGGACAATCCAAATATTCTTCTTAGAGGCGTATGTGTTCTTGAGTAAGTAGCATTTAACTGGAGAATTAATTGCAAAAGATAACAAAACACTTAGGCAAATGTTTTACTTGATAACTACATATTTATACTAAAAGAAAACAGTTGTGCATAAAATTAACATAAAAAAATAAATAAATAATAAAAAAAACTTCTTATTACTTCATCCAAATCTAAAGTACTTCAGATTCATTAAACAAGAACTAAAGTAATATGAATGCACTATATATAACTATACAAATGTATTTCGAAAATACATAAAGAAATGATTCGAGGGTTCCAATTACAACTACAGTCTTAAACAAGCTGTAAAAACTCAGTCGTATAATTAGAGTTACTTAAACTATTATATAGATCACTTAAACTTATGAATTTTGTTCTTTATAATATTTATATTATAATATTTTTTATAAAAATGAAAATATAATTAAAGTATTTAACATAAATTAACAAATGTAATTGTTTATAAATTTTCTATAATTTTAATAATAGAAAGTAATAACAATTAATTGAAGAATTTTTTTTAACAATCTTTATTGTCAACATCATTTTCCACAATTAGTCAAAATAAAGCAAAAACTAATAAATGAAGCCACACATATTAAGCTTTACATACTAATCCTTGCTACCAATTTTTCTTAAATCGATTTATTTTTCCCTGCTAACCAAGAATATATATCTCCGATATCTCCTAAGCAACGTTATTGTAAACTCGAGTGTAATAGTTGCAAATAGTTTAAATTGGGTATATCTTACTACTCTGTGTTTCTTGATAAAGTGCAATAAGTATGGATCTAGGAGAGACACTCCTTCACGAGTTTTATACGAGGGTGGTTTGATAAGTCAGTGACTTTTTGAATTTCCGGCGCAGTTATTCCAAATGCAACAGTGTTGCCGTCAGCTGTAATCTACCAGTGGGCAACTTTCTAATTTTGAGCAAGCTACGTCGTTCAATTGGTGTTTGATCGTCGATCAAAGCAGACAACCTCGTGAATTTTTATGAAAATGGAAAAAAGTAAATTTCGTGTGCTGATTAAGCATTCGTGGCCAAAATCCACGAATTGGGATACGATCTGCCACCCCATCCAGCATATTCTCTGGATTTCGCTCCCTGCGACTATTTTCTGTTTCCAAATCTAAAGAAATTGCTGGGCGGTAAGAGATTTGAGTCGAATGAAGAAGTCATTACCGAAACAAACTCGTATTTTGAGAGCTTTGAAAAAACCTATTATTTGGAGGGTATAAGAAAATTAGAAAAACGCTGGACTAAATGTAACGAGCTAAAAGGTGATTATGTAGAAAAATAAAATGTTTATTTGCCGAAAAAAATTTATTTTATTCAAAAAGTCACTGACTTATCAAACCGCCCTCGTATGCTTCATTATCATCTTATCTCGGCAAAAAAAATGGTAATAAATTATGTAAGCTTTAATATGCTGATTAATTATGAAAACCCAAAATGTATAATAATTTATTTGAAAGAAATTGATGTAATATTGTTAATATAGATTTCTAAATTATTAAAACATTAATTAAAACATTAAATAAAACAATTAATTAAATGTTTATAATTCAAAACATTTTTTATTTGCAGGTGGCTGCTGTGGTTCTACGAAGAAGCGAACTATTGTGGGTGGCTGGGCATGGGCTTGGTGGTGTGTTACTGATGTGCAGCGCCTTTCGTTGAATGTCATGACATTGAATCCAATGTGCGAAAATGTCGAAACAGCACAAGGTGTACCGCTTACTGTTACTGGAGTAGCTCAGTGTAAAATTATGAAGGTAATAGCAATTTTTTTATTCTACGTATTAAACCCTTTAAATTTTTTTTTATTATTTTTATTTTTCACCTTTTAATTAAAGAAATTATTTATTGCTAATTTTTATTTTTAAACAACTTACTTACAATACAAACAAAATTTTGATAAGCTAATTTCTATAACTTTTTTTAAAAATTCTTGGACTTAGAGAAAGGCACGCTAGGTATATGTATAAAGTAAAATTAAAAAAAAGTAAATTGAAAAATTACATTTCCCAGTTAATATACAAACCTATATAAATCAATAAATCAAATAAATATTAATACTACTTTATTTTTTTTTTTAACAAATATCATTATTTATAATAAAATCATTTAGCGTAAAAAACCAAAAAAAAATAGAAACAAAAATGTAAGTCAAAAAAATGTATCTATATACTTTTTCTATATTACCACTTAATATTGAAAAACTTTTATTGTTGTTTTGTCATTTTGTGTATGTGTGTGCTTAGTTAAAAGTTGTACAAAATAAAGTTTTTATATTAAGAAATTATTGTTCCAATATTTATACTCATTGTTGCAAAAGAGAAACATAAAATGCATTCAAATTGTAGTAAATAAAAATATTGTGGTCATATTGAATATATGAATTTTCTATAAGCTTAAACGAAATTGTTTATATATTATTTTAATTTTATATACATACAGTGTTTTTCTATTATTTGCACCATACTAACAGTCAAAAAATTCATAATATAAAGGATAAATTAATAATATAATAAAATTAGTTATGTTTCTATAGTTTCAAATCGTTTGTATATAGTTTATAGTTAAAATATTGATATCGTGTTAAAAAGCAAAATTTGGAAATACAAGTTTTACCGGGTTGTATCTCATAGTTTTTAAAGCACATATCATACATAAGTAAATAAATCACATCAAAAATAATAAGCTCTGGTTTTACTGAAGCTTCACACAAATAATTTGTTTCATTAATTATTATACATTTAATGAAAATGATATCAACAATCTGCCAGTATTGAGAAAATCGTAAAGCTTTTCTTAGAACCTACTTTAAATGCTGGTAGTTAATATAAGTAACCAAATATTTGTTCTAGTTCAGATCTATTTATACTAGGAATCCATTTATACTAGTCTCAATGTATACTAGTCTAGGCATCCAAAATAAGTCCATGACTCGCATATAGTCAATATGCAATATTCTCTTTCATAAATTGAGTTAAGAAAAGGATTTAGCAAATGTCTACTATTTTTTTACCTTCCGATAGACTGTAATTATAAATTTAAAATAATGTTACCTTGACAAGACTAGGATATTAAAAAACTACATTTTTGTAACTTCTAACCATTTTGAATTTGGTAGCTTATGATTAAAAAGTATTAAATAACTGCCTGAATATATACAATATAAACATATAAGGCAGACACTTATACTAGAAAAACTCTTTATAAAAATTTTTAATTAGAACAGTTAGGTTAACTAAGAGTCAATAGACTCCAACACAGCTTTATATTTATTTCAGTTTCTATCTTTTAGAAAATACTACGTTTTATATAAAACTTTATTGTGGAATTGCATTTCAAAATTACAAGAAAAAAAGTGATTTAAATATAGATTCTATAATATAAAATATCCGAGAAATTAAGGACGGAATTTACTTGCCAGCTTTACGTTTTTGAGTTGTTTGTTAGCTCCCCTTTCTTGTTAGAAAGATTATATAATAGGTCTTTATGATATCATCATGTCAGCATGTCATTATTAGTTAGTTTTAGATTATTATATTAAAACTGTATATGTGATAATTCATTATAATAAAGTTTAATTTAACTCAACAATAAACTTCTTAAGTTCTTACAACAATGAGATTGATAGACCATTTTATTATTTTGTTAATTTTAATCTTGAATTATTTACTATATATAAACTTTTTATCAACAATAATTTAGAAATTTCATAAAATAAAATAATTTAAAAAAGTAAATTCTAATTTCTAAGACACAGCACTGACAGTGATCTTAAAAATTTGCCAAAACATTTCATTTATTGAGAAACTATAACCAAATAACTATCACCAAATAATTTAAAAAATTGACGATTTTAAAATATATCTTTTAAAATCATATTTTAAATTATTTTAAATATATATCAAAAAAATGTAAAGTCATCCTATTATAAAGCCCCGTATTCAGTTATTCTAAGTGTGACTTAAAACTGTCCACAGATAAAATAGAGTAAAGGTGCTGATTCACCAATTCAGACATCTGAATATCAATCAAAAAATGTGAAGCAACAACAATGCTCTAAAATCTTCAGAGTTGCACAAAATTTTCTTAAGTTTTAGTGCAGTCTTAAGTTTCAGTGCAGCCAAATTCAAAAATCAGTCTATTGTGAACGTTCACTGAAAATATCTTGCAAGATTTTAGTATTTCATCTACTAATAAATTCAAATATATAAATAAATAAATAAATTAATTTATTTATTTATTTAATATTACCTAAAAAAACTTACCATTGCCCTTCTAATATTAATTTTTTTTTCGTATTTCAATTAATTGACTATTAGTATTTACAATATTTATATTTCATATTATACACAACATAACAAAAAATATATGACAAAAAAGCATTTAACATATTTTAAAAGTGATGCCAATTTGCTTCAACGAGGCGTAATGCTGTTTTTTTAAAACTCTAAACAAAAAAAACTACGGCTATTATAAAATATTTCATTACTTAAATGAAAGATAAGCACACTTATTCCTTTTTGAATCCCATGTATTTGATCAAATCAAAATTCTAAAACAATTTTTGAATATTTTTGGATATAAATAGCTCTTTTAGTATTAAGTCCAGTGATTCAAATATACTTTTTATGGATAGAAATATACTTTCTAGTTTCTTATAGAGACTAAAAGTTTTTTTTAGATTTTTATTTCATATCAAATTTTATATATTTTAATAAATATTATAAGATATATTTATTCAACTAATGTAGCTTACAGCTTAGCTTTATATTGATCTTTATCTATGCAATGTTCATAGATAAAGATCAATATAAAGCTGAGCTCCTAAAACTACACCTTTAGAAGTGTCTTTATAAGAATGCATAAATTATAAATAGTCTATTAGTATATCGAATTTGTATATATCACCTATAAATGGTGATTAAAATAATTGTTTTTTATATATTTTTTATTACCGAGAGATAATATACATAATCGAGCAAATTTCTTTACATAAAATGTTTCAAAATTAATTTATAGTACGTTTCCACTGACTTAGTTAGACCAGTTAACTTACTAATAAAGCCAGTCTAATAAAGCCAGTGGAAACATACTTTTCGCTTAATAGCAATAAGCAATTTCAGTGGTAAAATTTAAATTGTTCTTGCTAGTATAAATGTGCAAATATTAAAAGTTATTTTTCTGTAATATTAAAAGTGTTATTAAAACATTTTAAATGCATAAATAAAAGTTTGGTGAAAATAAATTTATAAAACAAATACAAATTTAATGACAAAAAATTTAAAATAGCAAAGTGCACCCCTAGTCAAGCAATAATATTTTTAAACTATAAATTTAGAAAATTCAAAAAACTATAAATTTATTTACATACAATAAATTATTACTTTAAATGATATCAACAGAAAATAAATATAAATGAATTAAAATAATTTTATAAAATACGAATATATCGATTTTCGTCATAAATCATAATCATTTGTAATTGAACTCATTAAAATGTATATTTTAAATTGTAATAAAATAAAAGCGTTGAAATTTATTGCTTGAATAAATTATGCTTTAAAATTATTAAAATCTATAGATGCTGTGCGAAGTTCGACTATTGCAAAAAATCACATTATATGACAAAACTCATATTAAAATAATTTCTTTTTTTGCAATATCACAAAAAAATATTATTAAAAATAATAAAGAAATTTAGTATAATTTTCTTTATCTATACTTTTATGTCACAAATATATTTTATTTATTTTTATTACATATATTTAATTTAAAATTATTTAATTATTAATTTTTTTATATTTTTCTTTTGTTTTTGGTTAAATAAAATATTTGGCATACGCTTCTATTTAATTATGAAGTCGACTTCTTACAAGAGTTCGAGTAGTCAACAAGAGGTACGTTCCTTTATTTTGAATTACTTTATATTTTTATATATAATTTATATTTTATATTATAATATATTTGTTTGTTTAATTTTCGGTTACCATATTGGAGAAAAAAAAGTGAAAAATTTTTTTAAATAAAATAAAAATAATTTAAATAAAGGTATGAATTTTCGTAAGTAATTATTTTAATAATTAATCGGGTTCTAATTATTTTATTTAATTGCATAAATTTAATTAACAAATTAAAGTATATACAGTGTAGTCAATAAATTCCTTAATTCTTGCACTGAAAATTTTAGTTTTCACTTCCTTATATGTAAATATTTTTCTGTACATAGTAATTACATAAACACGTATTTAATAATTTTACCATCAAAGATAAAAAGCATTTAGAATAACTAAATTAATACATTTACATAAATTTTACTTTTTTTTATATATCTTGAACTCTTTTTAGCTATGACCATACTAACGTATACTAAATAAATCAATTAAAAATGTTCCCCATTTAAATAGCTAATCACAAATATTACTTAAATATAGTAAACATAATTTATTAAATAATTTAATTAAATAATCTATTAAATATTTAGAACTTAAATAAGAAATTTTTGTTTAAGTATATTTCAGTACACTTATTAATATTATTGTACCATACACCATGACTCAGGTGTTCTAATCCTAGTTGGTTTAACCAATCATAAGATATTTAATTAATGGGTGCAGCTTATCCTTGAGTACTATTGATCCATATGTTATATATGGTGCAATAAATATTTTCAAGAAATATTTAAGTCTACTGCTGCTACTGCTTCTCAGTTTAGAGAATTCGCAGACAATGTATTCAGACAACCATCTCACAAATGCAGCAAATACTGTTCTCTGAAACTTCCATTTTGCTGAGATGGTACTTGAGCTTGCTGTCAAAAACCCGGTGAGATTTTTGTTGTCCTCTCTATATATTATAAAGAGCCTTTTTAAGATTATTTTAGGTCGGTTGATTTGTCATCGGCTTTTACAGTTCTTCCAGTAGTTGATGTCTTGAGAGTCTGGTCGGTATCTTAGCGTGTCCATTATATGCCCTGATGCCAGAATACAGAATGGCCAAGGTTCAATTAACTGACGTTAGACTCTTATTTGATACAACACTTAGCCCTTTATTGGATTTGCTTCACTAATGTCCCAGAGTCTTTCACAATCGCGAATACTTTGTCTTAATTCTTTGAGATGAACAGTACTCCAGTATACTTGAACGAATTTCGACAGAATTTAAGAATGGTAAAACCACCTAGCTCTCAGACATTATATGAAATGTAGCTCTATTTGTGTTTCACCTCACGCATGCACAGTCTTTTTAAAAAGAGGTCCTAGAGAGCTCTTACTTTTCCGATTCTGATTTTTAGCGCAAGTTTCTTGTATAAAAATGTCATCTTCAATTTATGACAAAAAAAATTTCTTTGAATATAAAAGTAAATCTGATGAAAATAATTATTAAATACTAAGACTACCATATTAAAGCGGCCCTGGAAATCTTATTTCGCAATCTCACCAATATTTTGAGATTCAAGTACAGCAGCACATTACTCATTTTGAATTTAAATTGTTAGTAAAAATATACCTTTATTAGCATCCAATTCATCTCTGGGACCATGTACAGAATAATATAAAAACACAAACAGCTGATAATTGATTTATCCATCTTTATAGTTTTTTATTAAATAATATTTGGCAAATATATACATATATCTGATTATAAAAGCGTTCATTTACTTTCATTCAAAAGGAAGAAACCACTTAACCTCTAAGTAATGATCGTCATAAATATCGATTACTAAAATAATTGACTTATTTTTGATTTCTTTCAGTTTGAATCCTACATCTTTAAAAAATATCAATTATATATGATTACATCCATTTCTACTCTTGTGATATAAAATATCGATCTGTTCAAATTATAACATCAAAATTAGGCAAATTTTCAATTTATACCATATTAAATATCAATTCTGATGGAGTAATTATTCCAGTTTCTAATAAAATCTTCGAGACTAATTTGTATTAAAGCAAACACTTTTCTCGCAAATAAGGATAGGAATTAATATTTATATAGCCTTGTACAATTAAATAAAATGAGAATTATATGGAAACTTAACAATAATTTGTGCGTGTAAAACAAAAAAAACAAAAATGTGTAAAACGAGGAACATTTAGACAGATTTTATACTGAATTTTCAAATATTCGATTTTAGCGCCAAAAATATGTACTTAAAAGTATTAATGAAAATGGATCTTATTACTAACACAAATAAATCAACTTTAATAGAATATATACTAATAACGATAAACCCAAAAAATGCAATAAAAGTAATCATATTATATTAATGGAAGATATATCCACATATTTTACAAATACCAGGAAGTAACCAGGATGTAAAAGAGAAAGAGGGGGTGCGAAAACAAACTATAACAACAAAATGTTGAAATGAGCAGTAAATTGATTACTACACAATCATTTATTATTCCATTGCTTTTGAAAAAATAGTACTTTAATTCAAACTCATCTGTTATTGCTGCATGAAATTGCTGCTGTTACACATACATGTCCATAGCTTAGGTTTTGATCCATCCCCATTTTTTGGATGTCATTCTCTCATTTTTCTTTTTTCATTATCAAAATTAATTTTCAAATATATGTTTTTAACAGAACTACCACTTCATAACTACGCTCATTTGCAAATATGTTAAACTTTCAAACTAATGTACAAAGTCTTAAGAGAAAAATCTTGTTTAAAGTAGTACTGTTTGTGTTCGAATATATTAAATTTATACCAGATTATTCAGATATCTATATCAATGGTTTCCAGCATATATTAGGTCACTACAATTTCTTGTTTTTAGTAGGTACTTTAACGTTTAAGAATAATAAACTGTATGATTATTTTAATAGGCTTTATATATCTCTGGTATAATCTATAATGAATTGTATAAGTGCATAGATACATTATATAGACTATAAAATAGATATATAATTATTTGGAAATTTTTTGTGCTTATTTTTTAATAAGTAAGGTCTCAGCGGTCAAACTACAAGCTATGTATCCACACCTGTTAAATTTAAATCATGGACCATTTTTAAACATCTCGTGTACCACCGCTTGAACACCACTAATCTAAATAGTTAGTTTTGCATCAAATCTTTGTCAAATAGCGAAAAATTTTTTATAGTTTGATATTTCCGGAAATATGAAATTATGTGTTGAAATTATAAATATATTATTAAAACTATATCTTTTATATTTACAAGTAAGAGCCAATAGAATCTATATAAGTTAAATAAACTTGCAGAAAGTATAGTATACTTTAAACAAATTTATTGTAGTTAATTATTTCCAAACTATGGAATATCCTACTAAAATATTTCAAGACTACACTGTATAAAGGCAAACTAACAATATTATTGCTTAATAATAGATATAAATAAATAAAAATTATTCAAGTTACATATTTATACTAAAACTGTATAAATTTTATGACAATTAAAACACATTAACCATTAGAACTTAATGCACTTATCATTGCATATATTATACATAATCATTAAACAGTAATTTCAATAAAAATACAATAACATATATTAAAGTAAATACCATATAAAGTAGACATTGTATTAGATATTATAACATAAAATTAAGATAAACTTAAGACTGTTGTTATTACTAAAAAACGAAAAAATTAATAAACTTAATAAATAGTTTAATAATGTGTAAGACATTTTAATATGCTAATAATTAACATTGTATAAAAATCAAAATAATTCTTTTATTTAGTTATAAATTATACAAATATATAATTCTTTTTGTTTTTCATGAGAAAGTGCAAAACAACAAATAATTAATTTAAATACAAAATAGAAAATACTATCTAAAATACTTAATATAGGGGTATATGGACAATATACCTTAAATACTCAAGATATTTAAGTTTATTGTATTGTGATTTTAGTTAAAATTCAGAACACAATAGACATATAACATATATACGAGTATATATTTGCTTGGTTTTAGAATAAATTAGTCTTGCGTGTGTAATGTTATTTTTATATATATATTATTTTACTATAAAGTAAAATTCAAATCATTATTTATATTTTTCATAGTGTTGTAAATATATTAACATGTTAACACGTTTATATGAAAATTAAATACATTTTAAAGATGATATAAAACATACACATATCGATTTAGTAATATTTGCCGCCAAGAAATATCATCAGCATATCTGACTGTGCCAGAATAATCAAGTAGTGCAATATTTCCCCTTTTTTGAAGAGCTACTTTCTTTTTAGAAGTTCTCTTTAACTCCTAAGATAGCATCGTTACACATAGCTTGGAGTTAGATTTATTTTTTGGCTACTGCTACCACTGCAATGTCATAGGTCTATACAATTTTTCTTACTCCACCATAAAGATATCGAGTATACCGTCATGCATCGCATTCCAAAGGTATTGGAAAAGATTCCCAATTGTTTGGGTATTTCTCATGTTACTTCATTGTTTTGATCTCTCTGATCCGTTAAATAGAGATATACCCTATTATTACAAAACTACTATGACGCTCTATATTTTTGTAGTTCTTGCAATGTTTTAGACCAGCATACCGAATTAATTGCATTTTTTTTGTCTACAGTAGCATACTATTTCTTTAATCCGTTTCTCAATATTCACTATCTCACATATAACATCGATAGTGGAACATTTTTTCTTGTAGCCCTACTGAAGAATCGAAAGATTATCTGTACACCTGTGTATCTGTATGTATACCTGTGTCTGTATAAATCTATTTATTTAGTAGATAGTATTTCAAAAAAACATATTTGGTTCATTTGAAAAATTTGGTATAGTACTTATTGTGAAATTGTTGTTCATATGTGTGGTGCTGATACGAAATAAATGACAAAAATTAACATTATATATACCAATATGTATATGCAGTGTGTTTTATATCCAATGCATATGTATTTATGTAATATAATAAAGGTAGGCCTTAATTGGACCTACCACATAACATTTTTATTTCATATTTTTTTTATTTGTCCAATCATTTGGAGAAATAATTAAACCTCTAATTTTTCCATCTATGGTGCTCTGGTTAAGTAGGACCAAGAAGCCTTAATTGAGCATACCACATAAGATGTTTTTTTGCAAGATTTTTTTTATTTATCCATTTGTGTTAGAAAATTCCACATACTACAACTATATCCTTCACTTTCCTACAAAATGACTACCAAGTTTGTTCATTAACAGATGTTAGTTAGCGTTTCTCCAAATATAGTGTGTCAGATTATGTTAATAGACACAGATATGAAAGATATTGAAACTTCTATAAAGTTAAAGTAATTATTTAAATTTATTTAATTAATTAGTTATAAATTTATTTAATTAAATTTATTTAATTAATTACTTTTAAACTAAATAATTAAATTAATTTAAAATTAAATTGTAGATCAGAATAAAATTATCAGAATTGTGGATATAAAAATACTGGTTTGAACAGTATTGAAGCTTCTGTAAAGCCAAAGCTACATTCTATCTTATATACATAAAACTAAATTGTAGATCATTTAATCAGAAGATTTTATTTTTATTTATTTTATGAGTCATTAATTCTAACAAATTAGTCAAAATAGATATTAGGTATTTTTGAGGAAATAACACGAAAACTCTATTGTAATACAAATATAAAGTTAAATTTCAATAGAAATTCAAGAGATTATTTTTTTGATTCATTTCTAATAATAATTTTGTTTTTTACGGGCTAATTGTTTAATAGTTAAATAATAAACTTTTTAAAAAAAATTTAATTGTTTTTAAAAGATTGTATTTTAACGGATTTTTTCGATTATAATCTATAGTCATCATCAGGGTACTATAAAATTTAATACAATATGACAATATTTTAGTACATATCACAAAAAAAACACTAATAAAATACATTAAATCGAAAACAATTATACAATACTTATCTTATGTATTATGTTAAGCCTTTTTCGAGTTAGTGCATCTGGGCACTTTTACTCTAAGATGGCTGGGAAGTTTCTGCAGAGTCCCACCCATCTCACTGACTAATTTGAGTATTCCTAATAATCTTCATTCTTATTCAATGATTGATCTAAGTTCTGCGTACCGCCCCGTGCGATTAGTGATTACTCTAAGTGCTAAGTAGGACAGCCTGTCGGTTTTCGCATATAGCTTCAGAGCTCTGTCTCTTATGTATTTTTTGACCGGATCTATTCTAAGGTCTCTTAGCATGTCATTCGTGGGGATGTACCATGGCAATTTGAAGAACCTTCGGAGGGCCTGACTTAAAGCTAAAGTCAACTTGTAGCTTTTGGATAGTAGAGTCGGCAGCTTTGCTATACGCGCCACACCCATAAAGTAGTGCTGGTCTAATTTTCTGGCTACAGATCAGCTTTCTGTTCTTCGTGCTATGGTTGTTGTCTTTGAAGAGTAGTCGTAAGCAGTGCAATGTTTTTGCGCAACTACTTCTTTTGACTTCTATGTGCTTGTGTCAAGTGAACCGCTTATCATACAATACTATGACAATAGATATAAAAGTAACATATATAGGAAAGATATATTTATTCTCTTCCGAATTTATTGAAGGAGTTTTTATGCAATTGTGCACAGTGTTGTATGTCAGTTGAGTTTATAGTTAAGTCCGGTGTCACTAGGAACCGAATTAGCCCGTAAAAAAACAAAATTATTATTTAATAATTTTTTTGGTCATTGAAACAATAAATAATTTTTTCATATCAGCAATTCAATTCAAATGACATTACTGAACTTATGTTATTTAAAATACTCAGTCAGTAAATACTTCTCTTTGTCAATTTTTAACGTAGTTTTATATATAAGATAAATTTTATAAAAATTCCTAACGAAGGCAAATAGCTAATAATAAAAAATAATTAAATAAAACTTCATATCTCTTCATCAAGCTTTTTTAAACACTGGGTTTTAGTAACAAAATTTATTAATAATATAAAATTCATTGACAATTTTTTTCTTTACATACACGAAAATTGTATAAATTTTGAATTAGTTTCGCAAAAATATTAAAATATAATTCAGTTTTGCTTTATTAATGTCAATGTTTTTTTCATTGTATGCACAAAATTTTGCGGCTTTTATGTCTTTGCGTGAAAATTTGCGTAATATACATTTTCACAAAATACTTCAAAGTAACATAAAATTCACTTATACAACACAAAAAAAAAAAAAATACGCCAAGCAACAACTCTAACTAATATAGCAACAAACTAACATACTAAAATGCAAATTTTTACTAATCAATTCTTAAAGATTTCGATTAAGCGAAGTTTGAATTCTTGAGATACTTATGCGTTTTTATTTTCGTTTCGTTTTTTATGGACATGTTGCAGATGATGAACGTATATTATTTTCACCATCAGGCTGACGAACTGTTGGGCACTGCAAGCGAGCAATTCCTGGGCAAGAGCGTTAAGGAGATTAAGCAGACTATACTACAGACCTTGGAAGGACATTTGCGCGCTATATTGGGTAAGTGCTATGCAATTTGCATAAGGTTTTTTGCAAGTATGGAAACAGAGAACAGAGAGATTTGAGATTTGACTAAATCGAGATAATTTATTTTGATTGGTGCTTTAAAGCAATAAAACAAGCTGTTTAGAATTACAAAGTAGGCTGTAACGAAGTAGCTAAAAAGTTTTTATTTATCTTGTGGTTGTTTGTTTTTCTTTACTTTAAGAAGAATTTCTTTTTTTTCAAAACCAATTTAAGTGCCTTTTATCTTATGAAACAAATCCCTTTTTGCAATTAAATACCGACATTCATTTATGGAACAACTTATTTTCTTCCTTATTGTTCTATTTTGTTCCTTTTTTTTTTGTTTTATATAATTTTGTTTTATTTTTTTGTTGGTTTCTTATATTTATTCTTACTCGGTTTCATTTCCTTTTGCAATTTTGCTTCCTCTTTTTGTTTGCACAGCTTTTCACATTGATTCTCTTTCATTTACGAAATACTTTAATACGCTATTCTTATCCTTAATCTATAAAACAATAACCTGCGGGCTTTTGTAATATCGTAATTTTTTCTTTACACATTTTTATGGACCAATACAAAATCTGCGACGGTTACATATATCCCTTTGCTGAATTGCTACATTAAAGTACTTTTTACAGGCAACATATAGAGAGCTATTATTATATGGCATGAAAAACACCAAACACCCCTTTGTGTTAATTGCATATGATATCATTAAATATTGAGATATTTCTACTAAAATCACAAAGATATAAAGTTTTAGTAGAAAAATATCATTAAAGAATGCGATACATTTAGTGAAATTATGAAGATATAAAATTTTACGAAAAAAACTTTAACAACAATATTGTGCCGAATTCCATTAAAAATGATTTAATATGACCACAAGTAATAATATAATAAATATATTTTCAAGTTTTACTTCATGGTTTGACTTTAAATTTTTATATGTACAGGAAACTCTCGGTTTAACGAATACCAAATATAACGCAACCTCAGAAATAAAACCATCAAGGTTGTTCAGAATATAATTTCGTTTATTTTGTTATAAAAAATATTTCTTATAGAATACAAAATATTTCTTATAACAAATAAATATTTTATCGAATTATATATTGCCCATTCTGGTTCAATACCTTTTTATTTGCCATCTTTCTGGAAAATAACTTAATTCCACGCTCAAAAGATTTTTGTGGTTTATTGGTATAAAACTGATTCAGGTAAAACCAGAATATTATTATTATTATTATTATTATTATTATTATTATTATTATTATTATTATTATTATTATTATTATTATTATTATTATTATTATTATTATTATTATATTTCTACACTCTTTTAGGAGGTTGAGTTTACAAAAGTTTTCCACGGGTTTCTATTTTGTGCTACTGCTCTTAAATCGTTAAACGATTTGCCCGTCTCCTGTTGAACGGTCCTTCTCCAGGTCATTGCTGGTCTTTCAATAATAATCAAAAGATATCATATCTGAAGGAAATAATTTTGTTCTTTGTTGGCAGAAAACTGATTCACGTAATTTTTGACACCCTCACTTGAGGTTTTTTGACTTCATCTTTTTAAGTAATGGTTTTACTGTCTAAAAAATTGTATGGAGAATAAATAATAGAAAGTGCCAAATCTGGAGAAATATAGTGGATTGCTTTTATAAAATAGTATATCACACGTTAAAAAACCTTTTGGCGAGTTACAAAACTTAACTGACTCTCACCTTGTCTTCGTGGAACACTTAAGCTTTTCTAGTGATTAATTTTAGCATTTTCTCTTTTTAAGTGAATCATTCAATACATTTCAGAAATAATCGTTGTATAATCCAATAGACGGTCAAAACAACAAATCCCTTTAAATCTCACTAAACAGAAAGAGGTAGTTCTAACAATAATTTTAATAATTAATCGACTTTTAGTAATTATCGATTTTCAAAGTGCTTTTAGCCAGTTTATCTTTTCTTCGAAAGGATTTCTTGCATTTAACATCATTGTTTACAATCCAATTCTCATCTCCATAGATCATTTGGTTTTAAAAATAAATCATTTTCTTGACGTTTAGGAAGCAAATCACAAACACCAACGCGGCAGTACAAATTTCCTTTCGTAGGAACATGACATACTCATAAGTCCATTTTTACAAGTAAGCTTATCAAATGATCACTAACGACATATAAACTTTATCTCACAGCGAACTAACGAGTTGTTATCCATCGGTTTTCTTAAATAAATAATTTTATTGTGTCTTCATCATTTTCAACTGACCTTCCAGAACGTGATATATCTTTAACATCAAAATTGCCGCATAGAGTTTTTGCAAACCAGTTAAAGCACTGCCGTTTTATCAGTACATCTTCGTCATACACATCGGATAATTTTTTCTTACTTAAAAGCATTTTTAACATCGATAGTAAAAAAGTAAAATATATCGTTAATTATTCTTTGTACTTACCATATTTGTAAGACCACCAACCAAAAACTGCTAGGTAAATTATTTGGATATTGCTAGCTTAAGTAGAATGCTGGTTATTGAAAATTAAAAAAGAAGAAATCTGGCTGTAAAGCAATACAATTAATCCCTCTATTGGAAAAAAAATTTTTCCGAGCACCTCAATACTTTTAAATAAAAGTCAATATTCTATCTAACTCATATAGAGATGGACAAGAGTTATATTTTTAAGAGGTCCTTGCGACATACACTTTATCGACCTTATGAAGCTACTTTAGTTTATTATAGTCCTATTCAACCTAAAATTTGTTTTATATTCTGTATCTTGTAAAAGATTTATATAGTAGTATATAGATAGGTACACAACGGTTGCTTACAAAAAAATAATATTGGATATATATGTATATCATGCTGAAGAAACGCATTAGTTTTCATTGTCCAAAATTGCAAAAATTTATTCATACTTTAAAATTTATTTTTCCCCTGTATAATATTTACCAGAATAATTGCAGTAATCCTTGAATTACCGCAGAAATTTCTTAAATTGCCTCAAATTATTTGCATGTTTCACTCAATTGCTGATTGAGCTTTTCAGACCGCAATACCATACTTTGTGTTAATACACACTTTAGCCTTCTTCTGCAAGAAACCTTAACTTTGTAGTGTGAATTGAGTATAACTGAATTTCGATTTAGAATAGTTGAGAGTTCACTTTTTTTTATTTATAATTAGTGTAAAAATAGGCTGCTGTGAATAAGAAATTAAAACTAATAGATTAATTTTTATTTTTGTCTTTATAATTATGTGTTACTATATACCTTATGATCAAAAAAGAATGAGAATTTAAAAAAAAAAACGCAAAATTTTAATTTTTAATCATTTTCTCTATTATCGCCTTCAAAGTACTCACCTCCTGCGGCAATACAACGTTTGATCCAATTTTTCATACAAGTTTTATAGGTCGCCGAAGGTATGGCCTTTAGTTCACGCAGCGAATTCTCTTTTATGGCCTCTATGGTCTCAAAACACATTCCTCGAAATGGCAATTTGAGTCGGGGGAAGAGGAAAAAGTCACACGGGGCCATATCTGGAGAGTACGGTGCTTGGTTGATATTGGTGGAGTTTTTGGCCAAAAACTGCGATGCAACCAACGGTGTGTGAGTCGGTTCATTATCGTGGTGTAAAATCCATAAGTTTTCCTTCCATAAATCTGATCTCTTTTTGCGAATGGCTCCACGCAAACGACGCATAACGGCAAAATAATACTCCTTATTGACCGTTTAACCGTCCGGAAGGAATTTATAATGCACCACACCACGAATATCGAAGAAAACAGTCAGCATAACCTTGATTTTGGACCGACTTTGGCGTTCTGTTTTCGGTTTTGGCCCACCTTCGAAACACCATTCGGTCGATTGTTGTTTGGTAGGCATATCAAATTCATAGACTCATGTCTCATCACCAATTATGATGCCTTCGATGAATGTGGGGTCACTATCTGCGTTGGAAATCATCTGTTTGGCCACATCACAACGACGCTTTTTTTTTAAAAAATTTCAGCTAAAAATCGCCACACGAAAATTCTTCGACTTCTTTGTATAGACGCCAAACAAAGAAACAAAAACTAATCGTACGATAAGTTTAACTTTGACAGAATGTGCATAATAGTGTTGCCAGCGTAAAAATAAAAAAATTTACCGATTGGATAAGCGCGGGAATTCAAAAAAATTAAAATTGTCGTTCTTTTTTTTCACAAGGTATAGATAACCGAAGTATGTTATTATTATCGAATTAACTGAATTTCATTTAATTGGTTTTTACTATATTTTGTTGATTTAAAATGAAGATTGTGTGTATTTCTATGGAAATAAGCGCGTTAACTTATTGAATTGGAAGAGAATTCATTTATCTGAAACTACGATTATCCAAACGATTGTTTTTATAATTGAATAATTGAATTATTCAATAAGAATAAGTTGCGAATTTTGTTACTTTTTTGTAAAGATCGTCAAGACCCTTAGAGGTTTAAGAACTCCACACTTTATTAAGTTGATTCATAGAACCTGAAAACCTCCTTTTTTTGAGCTTAGCATCTATACTCTAAATAACAATTACTACATAGAAATTGCTTTACCAATAAAATTGACATTGTAACTTCCTTTATGCCGAGAGTCTACTGTATAAGGATACCAACACTATCCGTAGAAAATCTTTAACAATGTTATCTTGACAATTTTAATAGCTAAGCCATTAAGAAACTTATTTATTAGGTATCATTCAATTTCAATTTTATCCGCAATGCAACATTGTAATAAAAAAAAGGGGAAATGAAACAAAATGTTGAACTGACCTTTATTAATGATTAGAAATGCTTGAAGGTGAAGAACAAAAAAAAAATATTATCGAATTTTTATACAAGTAAATAGGTATGAACATAACTGTTTATTTGTATATTTATTGGATATATTAATGATATGCTTTCCCACACATATGGCACAATATACACGACATTCCATGTCATTGCAGTAAATTGAAATGTACATGATAATAAGTTTCATGAAGGTTCCCATATGTTCTCTATTTGTATTCGTTGTAGTGTCCTTAAGCTAACAAAACCAAGTACACCATTCAAGGCAATTTCTTCATTTTGTTGTGACTGTTCTTTTCACTTAGAAAGTATCTACATACAGACATTAAATGGATCGATAAAAAAATATTGTACATTGTCTTAAAAATACAATTTAATAAATAATTGACAATCGTAGCCCAAATTAGAAACATGAGAGTTTAGATATTTTAATGTTGTCCTGTTTGGTCATTTCGTGCACATCACATGGCATTGAACTTTTTCCTTGGTTTTTCTATTCTTTCATTATTTTGATTGATTTTACGTCAATTTAAGTCTTAATGTCTGACATTGACATTTGACACTTGTCAGTGGGTTGACTGTTGAGTGTTGGGTGTTAGTGGGTGTTAGAAATTTCCTTGAACAAAAAATAAAATGTTGCACACAATTGTTTTTCTTATATTTGATTTGGGTACGTTTAATGTCATTTACAATGAAATAAAATAAAATGTTGGTCAAAATTTGCAATTTATATTGAGAAAAAACCTACAAATAAAGAGAAAATGTTATAAAAAATGGTATAGAAAAATTGAGTTTACCATTTTGGGATTTAAATTTAAATACCAATTGGGAATAATTTAATTTTGAATTTTTATTAGAATTCTTAATCTAAAAATAAGCGTACTTTGGCAAAATAAACAATATTCCAATTAAACCCAAAATGTATTTTATATCCATGATATTCCGATGATATAAAAACATTATATAGTTTCCAAATATATCTAAATAAAATACTTTCTTAAGTGGTTAGGTTAGTAGAAAGATAGAGATGACTGCCCCAGCCCATGCATTGACCTAAAAGATCCGTAAAAGGTCCCCAAATTAGAGATTAGAGGCAGTTATTAAAAGTACACAGTGTTGAAGTTATATGTATCATTTGCATATTTCACGAGATAATTCACTCTCTATCAGGGACGAAGTTCTACCCCACAAAACTGGTTGCTTCAAAAAATGTTGCTTGAGTTTTCGAGAACATCTGATAGAAACAGAGAAGATGCTTCAAGACTTCCTTAATGCACGGTTGCTATAACAGGAATCGGGCATTATATACCCATATAATAAGAATATATATATATTATATATTCCTATTATGCATGACTTTTTCCTCAGATTATGTTTGTGTAATAATTTTTGACTTGACTGTGCTTTAAAGTATCATATCGTCAACTTTACGCATCTTTACAACATCATCTTTCAAAATGACTCGTCTTCTTCTTCTTAGCAATAGAATTTCGATATTTCGGTAATGGTATGTTCCAGACAGTAATCGATT